CTGGTATATCAGGAGAAGGGTCGGTACCATGTCGGGTATATCAGGAGAAGGGTTAATACCATGTCGGGTATATCAGGAGAAGTGTCGGTACCATGTCGAGCGACGCATTTTGTGAAAGGAGGATAAAATATATTTTCTCATACAAAATTCACAGCAAATTAATGATGGTTAATTATTTCAGGGTAGCAAGCACTTCTAATATCACGCTAGACAAAAAGTTCTCTCAAAGCCATACCGCTGAGAAACTACGTTAGCATTCCCTTTACAGCAGCTTTTTGCCACTAAAAAGACCTTGAAAAAACAAAACGGTAGTTGTGAAAAAGAAGACATGAGAACCACTGAAGAGTCGCAAAATATCAAGACACAAATGTAATAAACGCAGAATATATCATCTAGCTTTGAGTTAGCGACACTGACATACATCCCAGAAACATATTGTCCGACAAGTGTCCCCAGCGTCGACGTGTGTCGATGAACCAGGTGTAGGGTACACTCAGGAAGACTCGGGTGACTTGTATTGCTAATTGAAGCGCAGCAAAAAAACAGGCGTTGGCCACGTTTGAACTGTTCCCAGCCGGCCGTTGTCACAGCCGGTCGTTGTCACATCTGGTCGTTGTCACCGCTGGTCGTTGATATTAAATACAACATTCCCCCCCCCACCCCCCACACACCCCCTACCCCCCACGCTACTATCGCCACCATCGTCAGCAAAATATTCAGCTTCTACACACACTCTATCTCACACAGACACACGCACATACATATATCCAACTCTTCTCACTTGATGGCTACTCTTATCCTTCTTCTTCTTCTTTTTCTTCCCTTCTTCTTTCTTCGTCTCTTCTTCTTCTTCTTCTTCTCTGCTTCTTCTTCTTCTTCTTCTTCGTTCTTCGTCTTTCTTCTTCTTTCTTCTTCTACTTTCTTCTTCTTCTTTCTTCTTCTTCTTCTTCTTCTTCTTCTGTCTGTCTTTCTTCTTCTTCTTTTTCTTCTTCTTCTTCTTATACTTCATCTTCTCATACTTCTTTTACTTCTTCTACTTCATATAAGTTTATCCTCAAACTGGCGGTTGGTACATTTTGTTGTGGTATATATTAGACTGTTTCACAAGACACTATTGGAATGTTGGAGAAGATGTTGGACTGTTTCACGGGGCACTAATAAAATGTTGGAGAAGATATTAGACTGTTTCACAAGACACTATTGGAATGTTGTAGAAGATATTAGACTGTTTCACGGGGCACTAATGGAATGTTGGAGAAGATGTTAGACTGTTTCACGGGGCACTAATGGAATGTTGGAGAAGATGTTAGACTGTTTCACAAGACACTATTGGAATGTTGGAGAAGATGTTAGACTGTTTCACGGGGCACTAATAAAATGTTGGAGAAGATGTTAGACTGTTTCACTGAGCACTACAGGATGTTGGATAAGATGTTTATACTGTTTCACTGGGGCGGACTATGGAATGTTGGAGAAGATGTTAGACTGTTTCACGGTGCTCTAAATGGAATGTTTGGAGAAGATCTTTAGCCTGTTTAGCAGGGCACTTACTGGAATGTTGGAGAAAGATGTTAGACTAGTTTCACGAAGGGGGCCAACTAATGGAATGTTGGAGAAGATGTCTCATACTGTTTCACGGGGCAACTATTGGATGTTGGAGAAGATGTTAGACTGTTTCACCAGACACTATTGTGATGTTGAGAAGATGTTAGTCTGTTTCATGGGCACTAACTCATAAAAATCGTGGAGGGAAGGGTTTAAACTGTTTTTACAGGGCACTTCTGGAATGTTGGAGAAGATGTTAGGACTGTTTTTTCACGGTTCGGCCTAATGGTAATGTTAGAGAAGATTTGTTAGACTGTTTCACAAGACACTATTGGAATGTTGGAGAAGATGTTAGACTGTTTCACTGGTGCCATAACATTGCGAATTTGGAGAAGGATGTTAGGACTGTTTCACAAGGGCACTATGGAATGTTGGAGAAGATGTTAGACTGTTTCACGGGGCACTACTGGAATGTTGGAGAAGATGTTAGTGACTGTTTTTCACGGGGCCACTAATGGAAGTTGGAGAAGAGGTTAGGACTGTTTCACAAGACACTATTGGAATGTTGGAGAAGATGTTAGTCTGTTTCATGGGGCACTAATAAAATGGTGGAGAAGATGTTAGACTGTTTCACAGGGCACTACTGGAATGTTGGAGAAGATGTTAGACTGTTTCACAGGGCACTACTGGAATGTTGGAGAAGATGTTAGACTGTTTCATGGAGCACTACAGAAATGTTGGAGAAGATGTTAGACTTTCGGCGTCTTTAGCTTAGGTGTTACGAACACGCTTTGTAATGCCGGGGTGCCGGGCTCAATACCAGCTGCGGGCTTTGCGTCTTGCGTTGGTTTCGACAATGGTCTCGAGAAGCCGAACTACTAGACCTAGGAGAACCACAACAGCCAAAAAATGCTGTGGTTGGTTCTGCAACGTCCTGTAAATGATACGCAACTAACCATAAATCTCAAACTCTAACACATCCCTCATTAGGCACATTTTACGACATCGTTGAATGATTTCTATTTGCAATATGTCGTATGATTCCCCCCTCTTCTCCCACCCTCAACTCCCTTTTTCCAAAAGGCCTGCAAAAACTACGAGGCGTTTTGGTATCTTAAATGTGTCTATAATCTTGTGACAGCAACATATGCAAATACATGCTTTACACTCTTGCCCAGCTCGTTAGCTCAGTTGGCTTAATCTGACTACGCGGCGACCGGGTGACGAAATCCTTGTGGTCCGTGTTTACACCCGGGGTAGTAAAAAAACAAAGTCACATTTCTTCCAAAATGACGCCACCTATCACGGAATCAAGGCCGAAGGGTGCGATATCTAGTACCGAGCCTAAGGGTTAACAACACATGGTTTCTAAATACTAAAAAAAAAAATACAATCTAAATACTTCCTTTACAGTTTAAATACTGGCTTTACAGTTTACATACTTGCTTTACAGTTTAAATAAATACTTGCTTTACAGTTTAAATACTTGCTTTACAGTTTAATTACTTCCTTTACAGCTTACACAATCGCGTTAGAGGACTGGCTAAGTAAATCGCTTCAAAAACTATACAAATACTTGATTAATGGTATAACTGACGAAGTCAGGCCCCGGGACACCGTGACATGCCGTTAATTATGCGTCTTTAGGGATAGTGTAAATATATAATTAATAGTAAATACTCCATTTACACATTGCGCAATTATATGATTACCTTATATACTCGCTTTGCAGATAATGTAAATACATGATTAACAGTGTAAATATTTGCTTTACATACAGTGTAAATGCATGATTAAATGTAAATACCCACTTTACAGATATTATAAATACAAGATTAACTGTAAATACTCGATTTATAGACACATAAATACATGATTGGCAGTGTAAATACTCGCTTTACATATAATTCAAATGCAGGATTAACAATATAAATACTATCTTCACAGATAGTGTAAACATATGATTAACAGTGTAAAGACTCACTTTACAGATTGTGAAAGTACATGATTAACAGTGTAAATCCTCGCTTTACAGACAGTGTAAAAGCCTGCTTTACGCACCGTGTTAATCTACTTTACATCAAGTGAAAATATTGACTTTACGTCTAACAATAAATTGTCTGTACGGAAGAGGAAATAAAAAAAAAAAAAAGAACAATAATAGGGAAACTGTGGGAACGATTAGACAAGAAAGAAGTAACGGGGCGGTACATTCAAGTGGCCACAGTGGTCAGGATGTTAGACAAGCCCAGAATTTCCCCCCCCCTCCTCCCCCAAGCCTCTATCTCCAGCGACTTGTGTCGGAGCGCCCACTGGCAGCTCGATGGTGTTCACATTTCTTGTGTCCACATAACCCCTATCAGTTCCGGCCTGGTCTACCCAGCCTCCGATTAACGAACTCCCTGGAGTGCCAGACTTTCCCAGTTTGAGTGGCCCGCTACTTGGGTCATCAATCTCCTATCTTGCTGAGAAAAAAGTTACCTTGTCTGTGTTGAAGGAAAGAGAAGTCTGCCACATGACAAGAGAGGAACTGTTTCCCTCAGAAAGTAAATATGTGACACAGAATACACACAGTGACAAGTGCCAGGACACCCAGCCGCGTCCGGTTGGCACACACAGATAAAGTAAACACCACGCTGAGCAATGACAACGTACATATACATGATGTTGCTTCTCACTACCGATGTATGTAGTCCGCCCGGCTCTCTAGCGTGGTTGGCTAAACCGGATTGCGCGGTGACCGGGTGACGAACTCCTTGTGGTCCGGGTTCACTGGCAGGGGAAGGCAGAAAAGCCACATTTCTCTCAGATTTATGGTATTAATCATGGAATCAAGGCCGAAGGGTTGCGATATCCATAGTACCGAGCCTAAAGGTTAACACCTCATGGCTTCTGGAAACTAAAAACAAACAATATATGTAGTGCTGTATAGGCTTTTCCCACTGTTTCTCCTCTGACCTTGAAATTCTGTTTCCATGTTAAACGAGCGGCCTAATACAGACAGCATTGTTTTCTTTCGACTATCACCTGTATCATGTGTTTTGTTGTTGTCTGTTTGCTACTGTGCTGCTGTCTGGTCTTCACAACTACCCAGTTTTACCAGATTTATATCATAGGCCAGGACATCACATCAACCACAGAGAGTCTAGACGATCGTATGTGCTTGAGTAGACAATGAAAGCAGCCGTACAACAGAAGATAGTTTCTGAAACAGCCGTACAACAGAACATGATTGCTGAAACAGCCGTACAACAGAACATGATTGCTGAAACAGCCGTACAACAGAACATGATTGCTGAAACAGCCGTACAACAGAACATGATTGCTGAAACAGCCGTACAACAGAACATGATTGCTGAAACAGCCGTACAACAGAACATGATTGCTGAAACAGCCGTACAAAAGAACATAGTTTCTGAAACAGCCGTACAACAAAACATGATTGCTGAAACAGCCGTACAAAAGTACATAGTTTCTGAAACAGCCGTACAACAGAACATGATTGCTGAAACAGCCGTACAAAAGAACATAGTTTCTGAAGCAACCGTACAACAGAACATGATTTTTGAAACAGCCGTGCAACAGAACAGTTTCTAAAACAGCCGTAAAACAGAACATATTTTCTGAAACAGCCGTAAAACAGAACATAGTTTCTGAAACAGCCGTACAACAGAACATAGTTTCTGAAACAGCCTTAGAGCAGAACATAGTTTCTGAAACAGCCGTACAACTGAAAATAGTTTTTGAAACAGCCGTACAACAGAACATAGTTTCTAAAACAGCCGTACAACAGAACGTAGTTTCTGAAACAGCCGTACAACTGAAAATAGTTTCTGAAACAGCCGTACAACAAAACATAGTTTCTAAAACAGCCGTACAACAGAACGTAGTTTCTGAAACAGCCGTACAACAGAACATAGTTTCTGAAATAGGCGTACAACAGAACATAGTTTCTGAAACAGCCGTACAACAGAACATAGTTTCTGAAACAGCCGTACAACAGAACATGATTGCTGAAACAGCCGTACAACAGAACATGATTGCTGAAACAGCCGTACAACAGAACATAGTTTCTGAAACAGCCGTACAACAGAACATAGTTTCTGAAACAGCCGTACAACAGAACATAGTTTCTGAAACAGCCGTACAACAGAACATAGTTTCTGAAACAGCCGTACAACAGAAGATAGTTTCTGAAACAGCCGTACAACAGAACATAGTTTCTGAAACAGCCGTACAACAGAACATAGTTTCTGAAACAGCCGTACAACAGTAGATAGTTTCTGAAACAGCCGTACAACAGTAGATAGTTTCTGAAACAGCCGTACAACAGAAGATAGTTTCTGAAACAGCCGTACAACAGTAGATAGTTTCTGAAACATATAGTTTCTGAAACAGCCGTACAACAGAACATAGTTTCTGAAACAGCCGTACAACAGTAGATAGTTTCTGAAACAGCCGTACAACAGAACATAGTTTCTGAAACAGCCGTACAACAGAAGATAGTTTCTGAAACAGCCGTACAACAGTAGATAGTTTCTGAAACAGCCGTACAACAGAACATAGTTTCTGAAACAGCCGTACAACAGAACATAGTTTCTGAAACAGCCGTACAACAGAACATAGTTTCTGAAACAGCCGTACAACAGAACATAGTTTCTGAAACAGCCGTACAACAGAACATAGTTTCTGAAACAGCCGTACAACAGAACATAGTTTCTGAAACAGCCGTACAACAGAACATAGTTTCTGAAACAGCCGTACAACAGAACATAGTTTCTGAAACAGCCGTACAACAGAACATAGTTTCTGAAACAGCCGTACAACAGAACATAGTTTCTGAAACAGCCGTACAACAGAACATAGTTTCTGAAACAGCCGTACAAACAGAAACATAGTTTCTGAAAACAGCCGTACAACAGAACATAGTTTCTGAAAACAGCATAGTTTCTGTAGCCGTAAACAGAACATAGTTTCTGAAACAGCCGTACAACAGAACATAGTTTCTGAAACAGCCGTACAAACAGAAGAATAGTTTCTGAAACAGCCGTACAACAGAACATAGTTTCTGAAACAGCCGTACAACAGAACAGAGTTTCTGAAAACAGCCGTACAACAGAACATAGTTTCTGAAACAGCCGTACAACAGAACATAGTTTCTGAAACAGCCGTACAACAGAAACATAGTTTTTCTGAAACAGCCGTACAACAGAACATAGTTTCTGAAAACAGCCGTACAACAGAACATAGTTTCTGAAACAGCCGTACAACAGAACATAGTTTCTGAAACAGCCGTACAACAGAACATAGTTTTCTGAAACAGCCGTACAACAGAACATAGTTTCTGAAACAGCCGTACAACAGAACATAGTTTCTGAAACAGCCGTACAACAGAACATAGTTTCTGAAAACAGCCGTACAACAGAACATAGTTTCTGAAACAGCCGTACAACAGAACATAGTTTCGGAAACAGCCGTACAACAGAACATAGTTTCTGGAAAACAGCCGTACAACAGAACATAGTTTCTGAAACAGCCGTCAACACAGAACATAGTTTCTGAAACAGCCGTATCAACAGAACATAGTTTCTGAAACAGCCGTACAACAGAACATAGTTTCTGAAACAGCCGTACAACAGAACATAGTTTCTGAAACAGCCGTACAACAGAAACATAGTTTCTGAAACAGCCGTACAACAGAACATAGTTTCTGAAAACAGCCGTACAAACAGAAACATAGTTTTCTGAAACAGCCGTACAACAGAACATAGTTTCTGAAACAGCCGTACAACAGAACATAGTTTCTGAAACAGCCGTACAACAGAACATAGTTTTCTGAAACAGCCGTACAACGAACATAGTTTCTGAAACAGCCGTACAACAGAACATAGTTTCTGAAACAGCCGTACAAACAGAACATAGTTTCTGAAACAGCCGTACAACAGAACATAGTTTCTGAAACAGCACCGTACAACAGAACATAGTTTTCTGAAACAGCCGTACAACAGAACATAGTTTCTGAAAACAGCCGTACAACAGAACATAGTTTCTGAAACAGCCGTACAACAGAACATAGTTTCTTGAAACAGCCGTACAAACAGAACATAGTTTCTTCCTTAAACAGCCGTACAACAGAACATAGTTTCTGAAACAGCCGTACAACAGAACATAGTTTCTGTAAAACAGTTTCTGAAACAGCCGTACAACAGAACATAGTTTCTGAAACAGCCGTACAACAGAACATAGTTTCTGAAACAGCCGTTACAAACAGAACATAGTTTCTGAAAACAGCCGTACAACAGAAACATAGTTTCTGAAACAGCCGTACAACAGAACATAGTTTCTGAAACAGCCGTACAACAGAAGGATAGTTTCTGAAACAGCGTAACGACATTACATAGTTGTTTCTGAAACAACCAGTAACATAGTTTCTGAAACAGCCGTACAACAGAACATAGTTTCTGAAACAGCCGTACAACAGAAGATAGTTTCTGAAACAGCCGTACAACAGAACATAGTTTCTGAAAACAGCCGTACAAACAGAACATAGTTTCTGAAACAGCCGTACAACAGAACATAGTTTCTGAAACAGCCGTACAACAGAACATAGTTTCTGAAAACAGCCGTACAACAGAACATAGTTTCTGAAACAGCCGTAAAACAGAAGATAGTTTCTGAAACAGCCGTACAACAGAACATAGTTTCTGAAACAGCCGTACAACAGAACATAGTTTCTGAAACAGCCGTACAACAGAAGATAGTTTCTGAAACAGCCGTACAACAGAACATAGTTTCTGAAACAGCCGTACAACAGAACATAGTTTCTGAAACAGCCGTTACAACAGAACATAGTTTCTGAAACAGCCGTACAACAGAAGATAGTTTCTGAAACAGCCGTACAACAGAACATAGTTTCTGAAACAGCCGTACAACAGAACATAGTTTCTGAAACAGCCGTACAACAGAACATAGTTTCTGAAACAGCCGTACAACAGAAGATAGTTTCTGAAACAGCCGTACAACAGAAGATAGTTTCTGAAACAGCCGTACAACAGAACATAGTTTCTGAAACAGCCGTACAACAGAACATAGTTTCTGAAACAGCCGTACAACAGAAGATAGTTTCTGAAACAGCCGTACAACAGAATATAGTTTCTGAAAACAGCCGTACAACAGAACATAGTTTCTGAAACAGCCGTTACAACAGAAGATAGTTTCTGAAACAGCCGTACAACAGAAGATAGTTTCTGAAACAGCAGCCGTACAACAGAGAGATAGTTTCTGAAACAGCCGTACAACAGAATATAGTTTCTGAAACAGCCGTACAACAGAATATAGTTTCTGAAACAGCCGTACAACAGAATATAGTTTCTGAAACAGCCGTACAACAGAATATAGTTTCTGAAACAGCCGTACAACAGAAGATAGTTTCTGAAACAGCCGTACAACAGAAGATAGTTTCTGAAAACAGCCGTACAACAGAAGATAGTTTCTGAAACAGCCGTACAACAGAAGATAGTTTTTCTGAAACCAGCCGTAACAACAGAAGAAAATAGTTCTGAAACAGCCGTACAACAGAAGATAGTTTCTGAAAACAGCCGTACAACAGAAGATAGTTTCTGAAACAGCCGTACAACAGAAGATAGTTTCTGAAACAGCCGTACAACAGAAGATAGTTTCTGAAACAGCCGTACAACAGAAGATAGTTTCTGAAACAGCCGTACAACAGAAGATAGTTTTCTGAAACAGCCGTACAACAGAAGATAGTTTCTGAAACAGCCGTACAACAGAAGATAGTTTCTGAAACAAGCCGTACAACAGAAAGATAGTTTCTGAAACAGCCGTACAACAGAAGATAGTTTCTGAAACAGCCGTACAACAGAAAGATAGTTTCTGAAACAGCCGTACAACAGAAGATAGTTTCTGAAACAGCCGTACAACAGAAGATAGTTTCTGAAACAGCCGTACAACAGAAGATAGTTTCTGAAACAGCCGTACAAACAGAAGATAGTTTCTGAAACAGCCCGTACAACAGAAGATAGTTTCTGAAACAGCCGTACAAACAGAAGATAGTTCTGAAACAGCCGTACAACAGAAGATAGTTTCTGAAACAGCCGTACAACAGAACATAGTTTCTGAAACAGCCGTACAAAGAAAAAATATAGTTTCTGAAACAGCCGTTACAACAGAACATAGTTTCTGAAACAGCCGTACAACAGAACATAGTTTCTGAAACAGCCGTACAACAGAACATAGTTTCTGAAACAGCCGTACAAACAGAACATAGTTTCTGAAACAGCCGTACAACAGAACATAGTTTCTGAAACAGCCGTACAACAGAACATAGTTTCTGAAACAGCCGTACAACAGAAGATAGTTTCTGAAACAGCCGTACAACAGAACATAGTTTCTGAAACAGCCGTACAACAGAAGATAGTTTTTCTGAAACAGCCCGTACAACAGAAGATAGTTTCTGAAACAGAAGCCGTAGCAACACAACAAAGATAGTTTCTGAAACAGCCGTACAACAGAAGATAGTTTCTGAAACAGCCGTACAACAGAAGATAGTTTCTGAAACAGCCGTACAACAGAAGATAGTTTTCTGAAACAGCCGTACAACAGAAGATAGTTTCTGAAACAGCCGTACAACAGAAGATAGTTTCTGAAACAGCCGTACAACAGAAGATAGTTTCTGAAACAGCCGTACAACAGAAGATAGTTTCTGAAACAGCCGTACAACAGAAGATAGTTTCTGAAACAGCCGTACAACAGAAGATAGTTTCTGAAACAGCCGTACAACAGAAGATAGTTTCTGAAACAGCCGTACAACAGAAGATAGTTTCTGAAACAGCCGTACAACAGAAGATAGTTTCTGAAACAGCCGTACAACAGAACATAGTTTCTGAAACAGCCGTACAACAGAAGATAGTTTCTGAAACAGCCGTACAACAGAACATAGTTTCTGAAACAGCCGTACAACAGAACATAGTTTCTGAAACAGCCGTACAACAGAAGATAGTTTCTGAAACAGCCGTACAACAGAACATAGTTTCTGAAACAGCCGTACAACAGAACATAGTTTCTGAAACAGCCGTACAACAGAAGATAGTTTCTGAAACAGCCGTACAACAGAAGATAGTTTCTGAAACAGCCGTATACAACAGAACAAAGTTTCTGAAACAGCCGTACCAACAGAAGATAGTTTCTGAAACAGCCGTACAACAGAAGATAGTTTCTGAAACAGCCGTACAACAGAAGATAGTTTCTGAAACAGCCGTACAACAGAAGATAGTTTCTGAAACAGCCGTACAACAGAAGATAGTTTCTGAAACAGCCGTACAACAGAACATAATTTCTGAAACAGCCGTACAACAGAAGATAGTTTCTGAAACAGCCGTACAACAGAAGATAGTTTTTCTGAAACAGCCGTACAACAGAAGATAGTTTCTAGAAACAGCCGTACAAAGAAGGATAAGTTTCTGAGAACACATACGATAGTTTCTGATACAGGCCCGTACAACAGAAGATAGTTTCTGTGAAAGGCGCTACTAGAACAAGATCGTTAGACGGAGGGCGCTCGCAAGATGGTTTACGGATTTTTTGGGGGAGGGGGGTGGGGGGGGGGAGGGTGGTGTGGTTGGGTAGGTGATATTTTTTGGGGGAATAGGTTTTTTTTTTTTGGGGGGGGGGGGGGGTGTTGTGTGAAATAAAAAAAAGGGATTGACCGAAGTTTTAAAAACAATGAGGCACGAGAAGAACACCGTGAGAAACCGCTGGCACTTGTTTCATCTGTTGTGTAACAGACTCAGGCTGGTCCTGATCAGTTCATTATCACTCTGGTGACGGCATCTTTGTGGTTTTGTTGTTTATAGAACTGAGATTTCTAGAACAAGGCTGGCAGAATGTGATGTAACTCTCTGTTAAAGA